GTCTGGCTTGACGGGAGCCGCACCCGCCCCTGAGCGGATCGTATCCGACCCTCCAAAGAATCGTATTTACTGGAAAACGATCCTACCCTGAAAGAGATGTACATAAGTGCAAAGCGGTCGTCTTATTTACTTTCTGTCGCTCATTGTAACGAGCCAGGGAGGGAGCTCTCGCTGGGTCATCACAAGTTGAAGCGTTTCTCTGTTCCGAGGCCAGCAGGGGTAAAAGTGCTGACGGCAGGCCCAAAAGTTCATTGAGACTCCCTGAAAGTGGCTTGAGTTCAGCATAGGCTGCATCCAATTAGTTGCCCCCAAATTTGTTGTACATGTTGAACACTTTACCTGTTATTGAGTGCACGTCGTCCAGGGGTTGGAATTATTGTATAAATACCTTCATAATCATACACCTGGCAAGACTCCTGAAGGACTGAGTGCTGCGTTCAGTCCAGGCAGTATCGCAGGGCTTGCTGCCTCCTCTCTGTTACCCGTGATCAGGGATAGTTGCAAGACTGCAAAGGTTTCTTCTGTGGCCAGAGGCAGCTGGGGAGTGCAACACTGGATGGCAGAAGTCCTACCTGGCTCCGTGGAATGAAGCCATCTTTTACTCTCAACTCTTCCTGCTAGGGTCTGCTGCTTGAGGATAGGGACTGAACAGGAGGGGATGCAAGCTGAGTGACTTGGGCGTGCTCTGCTGTCAAGTGTTAACCCCCCGCCCCCAGTACCGGGGCTTTAATAATCTCATGTAAGAACCTTGCATTAAATGCTTCAAAGTAAATAACCTTTGAAATTCCCATGGGTGGTTGAAAAGGTTTGTTTGTGCTTGGAGGATGGTGTGAAGAAGTAGCTACATCACTGGCTCTCACGCATATGGACTGTTTAGATCACAATTCACATGAAGTGATGCAGATTCCTCACTTTTGTTTAGAAGTGACCTACGGCCGCACTCCTGTTGTCAGGAAGTGCAGGAACAGAGCCTGTCTTTCTGTCTGTCTCGGCAGCAAAAAAAAAAAAAAAAAAAATCTTGACAAGCAGCAGCTGAGTGAGGATAAGACTAGTCGCTTCTGCTCAGAACCTTGAGCTTGTTTACTGGGTGACTGATGTCTAAAATATCACCACAAATAGATTATTTTAACCTGGAATTAAATAGGATTCTGCAGTTAGTGTAGGCTATGAATTTTTAATTTGTAATGCCGTGTTGGTAGTTCATGAGTAAAGTTCCTGGGATGATTGTACTTTATTAGGGCCAATCTAAATGATGTTAAACATAACTGCTTGTCTGCCCCTTGCTCCACATAGTGGCTATATGTCACTATCCTTCCTTCCACAAGAGGTGCAGGATATGAAGACCTCTGTAGTTCCTGCTTGTTTAGATTAAATAAACTTTTAAAAAAATTGTTTATTGAGGATAAAATCTAATCATTAAATGAAAATCATTAAATGAAATTGGTAACTGGCGTTGTTAAAGTGTTACATTGGACATGCTATGGAACTTTCTCTTTCCTTCCATCTGTTTTCTTTGGTTCTCTGTTCTGGTCAGCAAGTAGATAGTAAACCGTCTTAATAGCTCTGTGTGCTTGAGAAGAGGAAGTTGTGAGAATTGGGGAAGAGACTGAATTGAAATTAACAATCCACTTCAATGCAGTTAATACAAGTACAAGAGGGTCCTAGTTGTGACCCTATTGTGGGGTGTATGTGGTTTTGATTCTGGCCCTGACATCTCCTTCCTCCCCTTCCCAACCCCCCTTTATTTTCTTCCAAGTCTCCTGATGGTTCACTGTTCCTTGGCAGCCTTGTATAGATTGGCTGCTTTTGAACCAGCTGGCAGCTGTTTCAGATGGGATTTCAATAGGATTTGCATTTCTATGGGATCTCAGCTTTTAAAAATGCAAATCACTATGCAGCAACATACACCCTGTCAGAGGTGCATGATATGAAGAGCTCTGAAGATATTTTCGGTTTGTTTAGATTAAATAAACTTTAAAAGAAAATTATACCGTGAAGATAAAATCTTGAGTAATTGAATGAACTCCTGAGGGTGAGTTGCGAACACTTTTTTTCCCCCCTCTCAAAGCATTAATTTTTAGAAATAGAGTAAGGGCTATCAAATTTGTACTTCACATCTAAGTAAGATTCTGTTATCTCAAACGGAAAAAAGAATATAGTATTCAAATATATTTTTCAGGTAGCTAAGGGTTAGTTTGTTTACCTAAAAGTTTTCTTGTTTCATAAATTTAGATTACTCTTTTGCATGGCTAAGTTTTTTATTTTAAATTTTACCAAGTGATGCATGTACATACCAACCATTATTGCGCACGCTGCGCAAAATGGAACAACATGGAAACTGCAAGCAAGCAGATTAGTGGTTCATCTAGTCCAGCATCCTATCTTTAAGTTTTCTAAGCAAAAAGTGTATTGTAAAATATCTGAAAAACCTTATAATAGATGGCTAAGTAATAAACAATGTTTAGTTGCAAATCTGCATGATTTAATGGTTATGTTAAAGAAAATTGTATCTTTATTTAGAAAATAATTAAAGTACTAATGGAACATTCTTGATTATAATGTGGATTTATACTTGATGGTTTAAATTGTGATTTAAATTCACTTTAAGTCATTTCTCCCAGCTCAAAACATTACCTCCCATGCAAAAAAATAGCAAGTAATGCTTTGAATCCTTCTATGTCTCTAGTTCTGAGATGTCTAGACATCTTTTGTTTGGAGTCTGGTAAGTGGTATGATTCAAAGTAACAAAGTTTCCTATCCTGTGCCATGCAGTCTCAAAAGAAGGTTGTCACCAAGATAGGAAGCAGTCTAAAGCAGTAATGGCATAAGAATTGACCTAGTGAACATGAAAACTTCAGCTTCCTACTTCTTTAGTTCTTTTATCTAAAGTCTACCACAAAAGCTTTCTTCAGTGACCAAATTTCATATTGGTATTTGTTGTGGTATTGAGCTTCAGGGTTTGCAGCTCCCAGACTTGAAGGGTTTCCAGCATCTGTGTATAAGGCCAAACATGGTTGCACCTCAATATAATATTTTACTGAATATAGCATTTAAAATTCCAGGAACTGGAGTATGAGTTTTCTCCATGGGCATCTGTATTCTGATTAGAATGTGGATGTAAGTTGGAAAAAGCCACAATGAACCCAATACCAAATCTGGTGATTTTTTTTTTAAACTGAGTTTATTTGGCCTTATACCTATGGGTTTGAAGGGTAGAAGTGGACATTAAGTCCTGTGTTAAACAGGATCTCCATGGGTTGCTTAATATCTGTGGCAGCATCAGAAATCTGGCCAGTTCCTCAGTAGCATTCCACAGAGTTGAATTATTGCAGTTATTTACCTGTCCAGTCATATATGGCATAAATTATAGACCTTACATTGAAAATGAGTAATCAGCTGTGGAGTAAAGTGACTAAATCTCACAAGTTTAACACTCCTCTGTTCATCTTGGTCCTTTATGTTGTTAAGTTATTAAGGGATCTTACCTTTCAGAAAAGAATGGCTTTGTCTAGCTAGTATTTAACAGGTTATGGTTTCATGTTGACTTTTAGCTTGTTCAACTGACCTGCATTCAAGAAATAGGAAAAAAGAAAATGGAGACAGAAGAAACTTTGAATCTTCGTCGTCAACTCAAGGAAGCAGAGAATGAGCGGAGGAAGGCAGCACAGTATGGTTTGCATTTACTGGAATCACAGAATGAGGTTCAGAATCAGTTGGATCAAATACGCAGTGAATTGACTGAAAAAACTGAGGTGAAGTTTTAAATTCTATCTGAATATAGAAAATGCTAAAGAACACTGAGTTTCTAGCTACTAATTCACTGCTTTGAAATATCTGTTGTTAAGTAGCTTTTGAAGTACATTATTTGCAAGTGCAGAAATTAGAGTAACTTCTTAAGCTCGTACCCTTATGGGTTTTTTTGGTTTCATTCTATATTAAATGTTGCTGCAGGTGACCATAGAACATAGCTTGATGATTAGCTTTACACAGAGTTGTTTGAACCTCCATAGACTTCATCTGATTTGCACATTACAGCATATTTAGTTGAGTGTAAACAGAAATCGGTTTCAACTTGTTCAAATAAACTAAAACCTAAGGCATGGAGACCAACCCTACAATTTCTACTAGGAGGGGCTAAAATAAGCTTCTTGGGGAAGTAAATACACTTACACCTGTGTGTATAACTAGTAGATATTGAGTAGGTGTGATCTTGATTATCTTCTTTTAGGTGTTCTTGCCTCCTCCTATGCCAACAGGGGCCTGTTTTTTGACAGCTGCCGCTCTGGGGTCCCAAAACAGCCTTTGTGAAATGAAAGCATTAGTTTTTACAGTAGGTGGAGACATCAGAAGCCTTCAGAATACTTGGAAATGTACTTTTTTTTGCTACAGCTGGGTCAGGATGTCTTGTTTGCAACTTTTGCTATTAAAGTAAAAGGTCTGGTTTTTGTTCTGTATTTTACCAAGTCTGGGTAAATTGCTGCCGGTAACCTAGCAGGTGAGGAGAAAATTCAAATCATAAGATTTTCATTTGCAAAAGCACTCCAGTGTTATAAATGATACTAGGATGCCTCCTATTTCTGCCCTGCCAAAAGCTCCATTTTGTGAGTGCAAGTGACATAATTCAAAATAGGTTCATAACAAACTCTAACCTGACCCAAGCAAAGTGTTTATCCATTTCGGGTAGGTCAAATCAGCTTAGCTTTTTTGGCCATTTAGTGCTACTTATACTCTTAACTCTAAATGTCTTTGACTAGCTGTAACTCTGCAGATGCCACATTGTATATTTTGTATAGTGACTTTAATCCTTCTCTTAATTTTCATTTGTGTAACTAACTATGCAGCATCTATGGTCTCAATCTTAAAACTCTGTGCTTGAAATGAATATGCTAACCAGACTCGAGAAATATTCTTAAGGCTCGGGATGGGACAAGCCCAGCTGGAGCAGCAGGGGCTCAGCTGCAATTTCCCCCTGCTTGCACTGGTCAGTCCTGAGCAGCACATGGCTCCACCGCTGCTTCTGCTGGCGGGTGCAGACTGGGCCGGGCCTGTCCCATCTGGAGCAGCATGCGGCTGAAGCCAGCTTCCCATTTGCTGCTGGGGACTGCCCGCCCCTGGTCCAGCTGATAAGTCTGTTGGGGAAGGGGTGTGGGGGGTGGGGCACGTAAGGCCCCTGTGGTGAGAGAGGGAGGGGGGTTGGGGCTGGGTCGGGGTCAGGCACTACCCATCCGGGGCGAGGTATGGAACGGAGCTGTGAAAGGCTCATCTGCGGCAGGGGGGACATGGCAGATCCTTCTGTTACGTGCACCCCTGGGGGAGCCATGCGGGGGGCACATGCCCCCAGATCTGTGCGCGGGGTGAGAGTGGGGTGCCATTGCAGGCTGGGCCCAGGGGCAGTGCTGGGCTCTTCCCAGCAGGGGTTTGGGCCGGGGCTGCGCTCGGGGTGGGGAGCGGCAGAGCGGGGTGAGGGGGGACTATGGGGTGGGCTACAGCCAGTCCAGAATTTGCCATAGCTCCCCCTTGTAGTGCCACTGCCCACTCCAAGCGCAGCCCCAGCCGAATCCCCATGCCAGGAAGAGCCTGGATGGTGCCTCTTGAGTCAGCGACTGGGAGAGGCCCCTGGCAGCTGATCCTGCTGGCATGGGGGGGACTGAGCTCACTCGCAGTAAAAGTTGCTGCACCACTTCTGGAACTCCGGTGGCCACTTCCGGAAGCGGCAGAGCTGCTTTTGCTGGTGGCCGCGCTCCCCTGCCGGTGCTCACGGGGGTGCCACTGGTGCTCCCACCTACCTGCCGGTTACACAGGGAGTGTGGCCTGACAGGAGGTGCACTGGCACTCTCAGCGGGTGCATGTGTACCCGCTACACATCACCCCTGGCCCTGGCACTGCCCCCGGCTTTAGCCTGCAGCGGCAGCCTGACCTTACCCTGCACAGAGCTGCATCCTGCACCCTGCCCTGGATGCCCAGCCCCACTCCCTCCCTCACTGCAGGAGCCTCAATCTACGCCCTCTACCCATGGCTCTTCCTTTCCCCCCACCAAAAGACTTACCAGCCAGACACTGCTCTGCAAGCTGCTGGGCTGGCTGTGTGCATGCTGCGGCTGCATACATGCACACGGTATTTATTGGCAACCTTATTGGCCACATCAGCTAAAAACAGCTGAATACCAATAATGTAAATTTTCCTTTTGTTGGTGTCAATAATATATGGACTGATGTATCGGTGCACCTCTAATAGGTCCTGCCTTTGAAGATTTAGAACGCTTCCACATGTGGTGTGGATGTTTGGAGGACACCTAGCAGTGGCACACTGCCATGTGCACTTTGACACGCTGCAAGTTACTCCTGGGGCGGTAAGGAATGCTGGGGCCAGCACTGGGCTGGCCCCAGCAACCTTACCTTGGGGCCTCCTGGGGCTGCACCAGCAGCAATTCTGCTGCACTGAGCTTGGCTGGCAGCCGCAGCGTGGCTCTGTGCTGTTCAGCTCCGCTTTTGAGCGGTGTGTGCTGCCCATGCATGCACCACTCAGTTTTTTTTCCCACAGATATTTTGACCCCTGGATATCCAACTGAACATGCTGTATGTGGCACCATAGATGTGTCTGCGGTGCCACATATTGCATGGCATGCTCATCTGGATGTGGCTTTAGGATGTTTATACGTATACTTTGGGAAGGTGGGGGGGCGAGCAGAGGGAGGTGCTTTAATTAGAGTGGCTCCAAGAACTGTTCTAATTAAAGCTCCTGGAGCATCTCATGCATCAGTGTCCCTGCATTTCTAAATGGCAGCGTTGAATGAGCTTTGGGCAAAGTGGCCTGATAATACGTGAGGTGCGAGAGGCTGCTTGAGCACAGTAATTGATATGCTCTAGCAGACTTGATTTATTGAGTCTGCTTTGACACACGTCCGAGCAGCTTCCCAGCTTGTGTATAGGCACCCTTAGAGGACAAGAGGCTTGCAGAGGATCAAGAGGAATCTAGACTTTATGCTAGAAGTAGGATGTTTGTTTAAATTGAATAGTATCAAACCAATTTAGAGTGGATGAGTGCTTAAAAACCTAAAACAAAAAAAAAGGTTTTTATAGGTTTATGTAATCAATATCAAGGCAGTAATATTTGATTCTTCTAATCTATGCATTTATACTATGTTTTACCTTCAGGTAGCTGCTTTTTTCCTAAACTGGCAGCCTAAAATGCACAGGAAAATCAGGCTCTGTTTTGTATACTGTTAACAAAATATGCAATAAGTATTTGAAATGCAGCTGGTTAAAATGAGCCTGCTACTCATTTCTGTCTGGAAGGATGTCTTCCAGGTTTGTAGGTCAAACTATTCAATGGTCTTGAAAATATTTAATTTATAATAAATGCTTGTAACTCCATTTCTTTAATGGCTAAAAGTGTGTGTAAGTTTACAAGTTTCTATCACAAGCAGAGAGGTGGGGGGAACTTAAGCACTTGGCTGAATTTGTGGTTCCCATGTTACTGGGAACATGACTGGTCATATCACCTGATTTGTGACTGATAACTCCAAGCATTATGTCACACGAACATTTTGGTGAAAACTATGCAGGCTGTCTAGAGAAGTGGATGAAAGTTGCTCATCAAAATAAGCTTTAGCCATGGGTGGATGGCTGTTAACTGTGACAATGATATGAGGCTGTTATTAAGCAGTTGAGCACCTGAGGACTTTTGCTGATACAAAAGACTTGTCAGTGCAGGTTTGGGGGCTGAGGTGGTGTTGGGTGCTTAGGAATGTGGTTCACAGCCCAGAGATTGCAAGTGTGAGGCCATGGCAGTGCGCGGCCCTGTCAGATTCTAACACATCAGTGAATTCTGCTAAATACCTTGTCCCAAGGACACAAAATCTAAGGACCTTCATCTAACCCAGGAGGTTCATCTAACCAAGGACCTTCATCTAACCCAGGAGGTGCACAGCCCCACCAGGGGGGCTGCCTTGTTGGACTTGGTGTTGGCCACGGGCGACGACCTGGTGAGGGGGCTGCGGGTGCTTGACCCCCTGGGCGACAGTGACCACTGCCTGCTGGAATTCACCATTCAGCGCAAGGTGGCAAAGGCAAGCACTCAGGCTGTGGCCCTAGATTTTAGGAGGGCGAACTTCAACGAGCTAAGGAGGATAGTTGGAGAAGCGCTGAAGTCTCAGAGGGGAGGAGAGCCGGGTGTTCAAGGGGAGTGGTCGCTCCTTAAGGAGACGATCCTCCAAGCCCAAAAGAAGGTAGTCCCAATGAGGATCAAAGGGGGCAGGAGAGCATACAAGCCTCCATGGCTCACCAAAA